GTGTCATATAAAGCAGGTGATGGTGCAGGGGAGGGGACAGAGATGCATTTACTTCCTAATCTTAGCACTTTTCAAATACTCTCCCATCAAAGGAATGTGTAACCATATCCCCCAGCCCCCAGAGACAGACTCTCACACTGTAAACCAGGCGCCCTAGCTGGTGTTGGACTCCTGGCAATCCTCCTGCCCCAACCTCCCAAATGTTGGGATAACTGATGTAATCTACCACACTTGGCTTTGTATTGCCCATTAAAAAAAAAAAAACTAACTAACCAAAACTGCATTTTCCAAGAGTGACATTTCTCACATAGATTCAATATTTTGTACTTTTCAATGTATATTTTCTTCAAATATGTTTTTAGTGGAGCCAGAAAAGTGGTTTGGCAGATAAAGGTGTCTGTCGCTAAACATGACACTCTGTGTTGGATCCCAGGAACCCACAGGATGGAAGGGGAGAATCAGGCCCTAAAGTTGTCTTATCACAGCATACACACCATGGCATGTATACACATACATAAATACAAAAATGAGGGTACAACATTAAAAATTAAAATGAACAACAACGAAGGTCAAGCTAGGTGTGGTGGCGCACACCTTTAACCCCAGCACTCAGGAGGCAGAAGCAGACAGATGTCTGTGTTCACGCCTAGCCTGGTCTACCTATTAAGTTTTAGGCCAGCCAGAGCAAGGAGAGATCCCATCTCAAAGCAAACAAACCACCAAAATTTGAATAAAGAGCATTACATTTTAAATTTTAAATAGAACCAATTTTAAACCAAAATAGTTTTGTGTGATAAAAAAAGACACACTTGTTGGTTTGGTTATTAGTGTTCCCAATATACACCTGGTAAAGAATTTGTGACCTAACAAACCTCGTCTTTGCTGGGGATGTAGCTCAGTTGACAGAATGCTGGCCCTGGGGTCCATCCTCAGTACCATATAACACACTGGCGAACTAACGCAACAGCCTGTCATGCCAGCCTCTCCAGAGGCCCAAGCAAGGGGACGAGGAGCCAAGGTCATCTCTCACCTCAGCCAGTTCCTGGCCAACCTGGGCTCCACTTAGACAAGTGAAAAATCAGAAACTATGCAAACCTGTGCTACCAGTGTTCAGATTCTTTAATCTACTCTTTACTTGACTGTTGCTTGATGAGGATGAAAGACCAGGGAATGGGTCTCTGCCTAACAAGTGCTTTGTCCAACTGGCCCAGAACACACATTTCAGGGTCATAGTGGGGTTCTTCATCTGTCTCCTGCAGCCATTTTATAAACTGAAAAGATTTAATTCCCATATATGATGCTCTGGAGCCAAGATAGCAGAAAAAAGAAGTCTGTAAATGGAAACACAATCCTTAACAGAAGACCGTGTAGTGGCTGGTGATGCCTATAATCCCAGCACTTGGGAGGATCAAGAGATCAAGGTTATCCTTGGATGTACAGTGAATCTGAGGCCAGCCTGGGCTACAGGAGGCCCTGTCTCAAAACAAAAACAAAACCAGTTCTTATGGAAAATAAGTTCAGCACCTATAATGTTATCAATGCTCAACAGAAGCACAAGGGCTTAAATGGCTGTAATCCCTGAGCAGCAGAGCCGAATGCCTGGAATCCCAGGACCCTAGAGGCTGAGGCAGTAGGACCAGGAGAAGCCAAGTCTAAACTGCATCTGTAGATCCTGTCTCAAATATCACCACCAGAGCAGAGAGAGACAGAGACAGAGACAGACAGACAGAGACAGAGACAGAGACAGAAGAATGAATGCTGAGCCATGAAAGGCTGTTATATAATCCCAACACTAGACCACATCAGGAGGTTCCCCCACCCTTCCAGTGTCTGTTCCTGGGAAAACCAAGATGAAATAGAAAGGCTTACAACACCTCATGTCCCAGGTCATCAACTCTTCAACTGGACAACGAGGGTTCAAACCCTACAGTTAATAAAAATCCAAACACTGTAGGCTATGGTCCTGGCCGAAATTATGCCAGATGGGATTCCACTATACTGAAAATGTCCAGCTGCCAGGGGGTTCCACAGAACCAGATTTCAAGAGGAGGGGGAGAAAGAAAAAGAGTAATTTCCCCCTGTCTGCCACAGGGCCAGAGGTTGTGCTGAGCTCTAGGGCAGGAGCTGTAGGCTCTGTCCTCTACAGCTGTGGAACCTCTGTACTCTACAGGTTCTGTCAGAGTTGACCAGGAGAAAGGTGTCAATTTGGGAAAGAGGGAAAGGCAGTGGCTAGGAAGTCATCCTTCTGTTAGAATGCGGGGGGGGGGGGATGTAGCAAAGAAAAGAAGCCATTACTCTAATGTGGCTGAGGTAGCGAGGATCCAAGGAAAAGCCCCAAACTCAGGGTCATAATCCTAGGTGCCCATCAGTGAAGAGTAATCAACTTCAGTGATGCCTAGAGAAGGAAAAACTACAGGGAATGGGGTTTCTGCAAAATCCAAACAATTGAAAAAATAAACAAAGAAACGACAGTGACAGGCCCCACACAGAGCCGGCACTTCAATAAGGGTGAATTCAACTTTCCCTTGGAACCTAGTGGACTTCAAAAAGCATCAAAGAGGCAGGGTAAATGAAAGTGAAAGTAAAAAGGGATGGGTGAGGACTTTTGAAAAAATGAGAAGAGAAAGACCGCTACGCTGCACAGCCACCTGGGCTGTTGCAAGCTCTGGAGGAGGAGGTGTGGGTGGGCGAAACGCAGGCTGGGGAATGAACAGGTAGGTGACCAGCAAAGATCCTTCTCCCTCTTGCTCTTGTCTCCACCAGGCAGCTGCTGCCGCGCCCCCTACTCAAATGACTAAGGAACTTGCTTAAATGCACTCGACACATGATCCCTGAACTTCCGAAAAGCACTTAATTCAGTGGGTCATGAAATCTTAATCTAAAAGATGTTCACCCGTTTATAATCAAGCCGAATCACACTGACAGCTGGGGAGGGAGGCTGGGCCGAGAGAATGCGAGTTTGGAAGGACACCATGCAGACTGGAACCCCGGGGACTTTGGTCTACCACCGTGAGAGATTCATTTTTACTCCCTTTAAAGATGGCAGAAATGCCAGTGTCTGAGAACAGTGCTGTTACAAGGGGGGAACTAACGGAGGAACTACATTATCCAATTCAATACAAGGAAAACGGGGAAAAACGTGATGCAATTAAGAAACTCATGTTAGTGTACATTTAAGGATGAAAAATGCTGGGTGGTGGGTATGAAGGAAATCTACAGAGAAAGGCGACAACAGGCTATTTAGCAATTCTATTGCGGTTACCAGGCACTGTTCTAATGTTCCCAAGAGTGCATATTTCCCCAGTCTTTAACAAAGTGCCAGCATCGTTCCTTGTCTTACTAGTGAAGAAAAAGGCACAGAGAGTTGGATAACTTGCCCCAAATTACACAGCTAAGAAGAAGCAGGACTAAGACTCAAACCCAACTGACTTGTGAAGCAACCTTGATTCTTATCTAAATTTAAACTGGAAAATAAAATTAAAAAAAAAAAAAAAGACTCAAACCCAGGCACTGAGACGCCTAAGTCTGTGCTCCTAACCTCTCTGGGCTCCTCTAGAACTTAAACATGGAATAAGAACTAGGCTGTGAGTAAAATTTAAGTCATGGCCTGGCTAGATCTAGTCATGTTCCTGTGACGATCAGCCAGTCTGGTGAGCGTCCCAGGCCTTAAGTGTCTTATCTGCACACTGTGGAATGAATTAGATGAGCTGCGGCATTTTAGCTCTAAAAGATCCCAAGCTCAGGCTGACCATTAGCAGCATGGACTGGCCTGCATTCTGGCTGGCTGGAAGCTTCATTTTATCCTCACATGGGCAAGGTGGTTTACAGTTATTTCTTCTGCTACGTGACCTTCAGGCAAGGCAGTGAAGAGGGGAAATGCACTCTGCTTAATGTGGTTGTAACCCAATGGCCCTTGAAAAGCTCTGGGCACAGATCATGTTGACTCTGCCAAACCTGCAATCTCTCTCTCTTGAGTCTGTTCTCAGAACCTGCCTCTGGGCCAGGTAAAACTCACAAGCTGGAGGTGGAGGCACCCGCATAGAGGAACCAGAAGGAGTAAACCCCAGCTGAACACCGAAATAAACCTCTCGATTAATTCACCTTTTGGTATAAGCTATTCCACTTGCATGCCGGCATGCACACATGCACGTGAGAGCTAAAACCTCAAAAATCATTATGGGTGAATTCAACACCCCCTTGGAATCTATCGGACTCTGGTAAGGATCCCCCTCAACCTAGTCATCAAATGTTGCCCAGCGTGCACTGGTGGATGGAGAAGGGCCTTACAGATGGATCATACAATCCTTCCTTTCCCAAGCATCCCAGACAGGTGGCTGTCATCTGGCCTCTGCCTAGGCACTTCCAAGGTCGATGCTCTGGCTGCCTAGCCTGGCAGGCAGCCCAGGGCGCTGCTGGACAGATCTTGCTATGGGGAAAGCCCACGAAACACCTAGAACAGTTGCTTCACAAGCTCAATAAAGTGCGCCTCCAAGTAGGTCAAAAATTGCTTCCCTAGAACTTGAACCCATCAGTCGTGGGTGGGCACGGGGATCCCCAAAACGCAAAGGCCCATCGATTATCCCGGGCTTGTAGTCAGGCCCTTTCAGGTTTCCAGCATCCTGTAACCCTCTTCCCCGAGTCTGGCCCGGCGGAAACCTCCCCAGGCCCAAGAGTGGGCATCGATAGGGAACAGGGGATGGCACCCAGGAGGCCTCTGTCGGCCTTGTCCCCAACCTCGGTTCTTCGAGCAGGAGAGGACAAAGGACCTTCAGGAAGGCGTATCCCACCCGTGGTTTGGGCTGCCCCGCCACTAGACAAGCTGGCCCTCCGGATCCCCGCAGTGCCAGGTGACAGTCCCTGAACAGTCCCCACGGATCCGGAGCACACAGGCTGCGGCGCGATGGGCCGAGCCACGCTGGGGACCGGGTACTCGGGATTCTGGCCCGACGCCTCCAGAGAGCGATCGCGGCTTGGTGGAGCTCTCCTAGCTGAGGCTTTACCTGCGCTCGTTGACTCCAGCGGTCCAGCTCGCCGGGAGTCCGGGTCCCGCAGCTCCGCGGCTGCCGGCTGCGCTCATAGAAATACAGCCGGAACCCCTGGCCAGCGCAGCTCCCGCCGCTACCGGCCCCGCCCAGGCAACTGCCACCACGCCCCTGACGACCGCCTCTGCCACGCCCCTAACCAAGGGCTACACCACTGCTCATTGGATAACCAAGCGGCCACTCTATTTGTTCAGAGCCCTTATTGCGCTTGGCTGGCAGCCCATTGGTCGGTGGGGCTGTTCCTCAGGGTGGAGGAGGTGATTCTTAGCAGATTGTTCTTCTACAATTGGTTACTTTTGATGTCTTTGGCCAGTGGGCAAAGACACTATTGGGTAAGGCCGGCCCCAAGAGGCGGGACAAAGGGGAGCTGGCTAGAGGGTGGGTTGTGTTTGATGGCTGATACCGGGAGAGGTGATGGGAGAAGGGCCCATTGTGACTGCTAGCTGGGTTCCGGGGCTGGAAAGGTCTGGAATCCCATGGGGATGAGTGAGGGAAAGAGATAGCCCAGCTGTGGGGTTCTCAGCCCTGGTGTGCCCAGGAGGACGTACCTGTAGCTCAGGACGCAGGGGACGAAATGTGGAGTCCCAACTTCGAAGAGCAGAGGTGGTGGGTGAGTCACCAAGCCAGAAAGGGACAAAGAAGGGAAGGCTGCGACCTCTGACCTCTTTCTGCTAAGGAAGTGGGTGGGGACACGCGGGACTTTATGAACCTGTTGTCGCCTCTCTGTCTTTTCATCCTTTAAGCCAACCGTTGCGGGTTGGAAGCCTCTTAGAAGGTAAAACCTTTGAAGTCAAGTTCGGGTGGGGGGGGTGCTGGCAGTGCGGCCTCCCAGCGCTGCGCCGATTTCACTTGGTAAGTGCGGGTAGCACAGGAGACAGAGAGTGCGAACAGTGCCTGGCATTCCACAGGCCTTCATCAGGACTGCCTCACTGTTCGCCGCTCGCCCTAGGCCCGGTTCTAAAATTCTCCGAGCCTGAGGCAGCGCGTGCGATGGCACGTGCTTGACTAAGAATAGAACACCGATGACTGGAAATGCCACGCCAGTGGGGCAGCAAGGGACACCCTGCCAAGGCTCAGAGAGGCCAAGAGAGGATGTAGAAGAAATGAAAGAACCACATAGCCAGAGGGAGGAGGCTGCATCTGAAGCAGTGCTAAGTCTTCTCCAGCACATTTCAGGATGGTGGCAAGGAAATCAGGAGCCAGCTCACAGAGTGGGGGCAAGCTGGGTATAGTGGCTCATGACTGTTATCCCAGCAGAAGGCTGAGGCAGGAGGATTGCTGTAAGCCGAAAGCCAGACTGAGCTACACAGTTAGGCCTTGTCACAATCAAAGAAAACCAGCAAAGTGAACGAATAGCATCCTCTGAAGGGTGCTTGCACAGTGCTAAATCAGAAGTCACTCTGTAAAGAATCTGTCAGGCTCTCCTGAAGCCCATTTCTCATTCTGAAGCTATGGGATACCCCAGAGTGTGCACACTCTGGAACTGCATTGAATCTCAGACCTTTAAAGCACCCTTAGAAATGGGAGGGGAGAGAATTCATCGCTGTTGTGGTTTTTATACTGCTGCCATGTTACATCAATAAAGTTTCATCTCAAGGCTTATTTATTCTTCTGTATTCCGTTCCATCTTGAGGAAGAGAAGCCTGGGCTTTGGTAGCAAAGGATTTTACTGAGGAACAGCCTCCCCCATGGTCCTGACGTCTCGACTGAAATGGTTTAGACTTGGAGAGATGAGCTTTGGATTTGTCGCCAGATAAGGATGCTAACCAGTTTGATATAGCCGTCTAACTCATACACAGGTATACCAGGACATTGCGTGGAAGGTGTGTCGTAAAGCATGTACTATTGTCAATTAAGAAATTCTTTGAAATGATGAATTTATAAATAGATTTTCTGCCAGTTGAGAGAGTTGTATTCATGAGTGTGGGTGCAGGCGTGTGTCTCTGTGGGTGCACACGCTTAGTTCTGAGCTACAGTTTTCTGCTCTTTCCTTTAAATAGAGCTGGTTGGTGGCTATGCACATGGTTGCGCACGTGCTGGGGAAGCTGACTCAGCCTGATTTGGGTCTCCTGCCCATGTCTGCTGATCCTGAGACATCTTTGGCCTTGGAATGCCTGCAGCGGCTCCTGGGTTCTCAGATGAGTTCTCTAACTTGAAGCCCCGCCACAAAGGTGACTGTTTATAGTGAACTGCAGACGCTCACCATGGAAAAAGTGGGTTTTCCCTCCTGTCTCAGGAACCTAGGTTCAGCCAGGAGTGCTAGCAAAGGACATCTGCCCAGCTTGGGAATTCTCAATCACAGTGGGTCACTGAGGCTCGAAAAGCAGACTAAGCCTGGGCAGAGGAGGGAGCTGACAGGACTCTCTGTGCCTGGGTGTCCTGAAGAAGGATCCATTATCATAATGATGCTTCCAGCACTTTTCTTATTTATCTCTGGTTTCCACTTCCTCCCCTCTTCCAGGGCTCTTGCCATATTCTGTTTAATCATATTATCCCATTGTACAAAGCATTGATTCAGGAGGCCATTTAGGGGCCAAAAATGGCCTCATTTTTGCCTTCAAGTTTAGCAGCCTGCAGGGATGGAAGACTCGGTGAGCCTTGGCCTGAGATACTCAGATGCCGGAGTGTGTCTATAAAGCATGGGGGTGTAGTTCACCAACCTCAGCACAGCATAGACCTGACATAGAGATGCACACTTGTCATCCCAGCGTTCAGGAGATAGAGGTGGGAGGATCAGAAGTTCGAGGTCACCTAGAGTCAGTGTGTCCCTGCTCACATTCTGTGTTGGTCGAGGCTCTGGGACTTCATTGGTGTGGACTGGGTTTAACTCAATGACTGCCAAACTCAGTGTTTCACCTGAGTCTAGAAGGTGCCCTGGAAGGTGGAGGAGCCATAAATAATACATCCTTTACTCATTGTCATCAGGCAAGCCCAGCGGTTTCCTAGCCTTGTCAGTCCTCAGGGAACAGCTGCGGGCAACCAGCTTTGGAATCTCTGCTGTTGGCACTTGAACCCTGCTTCCTAGCTTTGTGGTGGTGGGCAAGCACAGTGTCTTTCTGTGCTGTCCGTTTCTTTAGTAAATGCCGCCACCTGTAATGTGCTTCCGTCCTGGGGCCCTAAGACTAAGCAAATGAGTTTGTAATGGACAGTGTTTCAGTCAGCACCTGGCAAACGCCAAGCTCTTAATAAACCTTTGTCGTAGTTATGAGAGGAGCCATTGAAGAACCGTTCCTAAATCAGCCTCATTTTCTAAGTTTTCTCCCCGGTGACCAAACAATGTCTAGCGTATGTGCATGTGTGCACACACTTGAATGTGTAACTTTGTTCAAGCCTTTAAAAACAGGACCTCATATAACTCAGAATGGCCTCAAATTTGTTTGTGGCCCTCCTCCATCCGCCTTGCTAGTGCTGGGCCTGCAGTGGAACTCCACCACGCCAACCCTCTTTTGTGTGGATTATCTGAAGGATTGTGTTAAGGTTCAGGGGATTAGACCTCATCAGCTTAATCACCATGAGGGCAAAGGGAGAGGGTGAGGCTGAGACAATGATACTGAACGCTGACGTCTGGACACTTCCTCTGACTTCCTCTGACAGCCTGATATGAGTCTGACAAAGGGATGCAATATTGTCCCTTTATTGTGACACCCAGGGCTGTTTATGGGAAATTTAGGTTCAGAATGCACTGTACCTCCTGGCCAGCTTCTCACTGATCGTGGTGATTAACTTGGGTTAGAAGTTCTAAGGCCCAGCGTGTTACAGGTCAATGAAGACAACCAAGGATGCTATTTAAAGACCTGGTTCCTTTTATTAGAAAAAGCTTCCAGCTGACTGTTTAAGACAGCAATGATGGGAAAATAGCCTTCTCTTTGGCCTGTGCTGTTTCGTTAATCTCCATGTAAAGTTGTCTGTAGTAAGATTTTGAAATGGGGCGGTGCTGGCAACACGGCTCAGTGGATACCGCACTCACTCACTGCACTGATGGCCTGAGTTTGATCTCGTGTCAAGGTGGAAGAGAAAATGATGCTACAGGTTGTCTTCTGACTTCCACACGTTACTCCCCCATCTTACACACACACACACACACACACACACACACTCTCTCTCTCTCTCTCTCTCTCTCTCTCTCTCTCTCTCTCTCTCTCTCTCAGGGTTCCAGACTTACTATTAGATACATTAAAAAGTTTTAGACAGGTAGGTGAAGTCTCAGTCACCAAACATTTCTCTTCTTGACACCATCCTTAATTACAGCAATAAAAATTGACTGCTCCCCACTATTAATTCCAAAGAAGTCAATAAAATGTGTGCATTAAGTAAGTGTGCCACAAATCCTTTCCTACTGAAATTCATGTGCATGAGCTATTTTAAAGCTACTTAAATCCCTTTAGAGACCCATATAGTGTTTTTTTATCATATTTTTAATTAACCAGACAGTAAACAGTTTTACTGAGCAACATATTTTCAATGCTAGAGAAGTGGACTAAACCATGAGGCCAAGTCCTGTCCCTTCGTGGGTTGGTGTATAGGACAAGGGAAATCCTAGAGATGCCTCAGGATGCATCAGCAGTAAAAAGCTAAGTTTAGCGCAACATCTCCATTCAGAAGAGGGAACAGTTTCTTCTGATTTGGATTCATGGAGATTTGAGTGGGTGCTTAGAAGCCCCTGGAATGAGGCAGTGGGTGGTTTTCCTGGCGGTGAAGGCAGCAGCCTCAGAGGCCTCTAGGTAGAAGAACTCAAGACAGCTTGTCCAGAGTGGAATCAGAGTGTGAAAAGGGCAGGAGAGATGAACAGATGGGCCAGCGTCAGAGGCCGGTGAAAGTCTTCACCTGAGTTAATGGCTTTGCCTAGCACCCTGCAGGGCATGCGTCCCCCATTACCAGGCATCTCCATGCCTCCTTCATAACTTTGACCCTACCTCTGTATCCCCTCTTCCATAACTTATACCTTCATTAAATTGATTCACTTAATTTTTTTTGAGTCAGGTCTTTTTAAGTACTGGAGGCTGGTCTTGAACTCACGAGCTTCCTCCTTCAGTGACCTGAGTACTGGGATGATAGGCAGCACCATCATTCTTGGCTTTTGGCATTGGGGTGTGTGTGTGTGTGTGTGTGTGTGTGTGTGTGTGTGTGTGTGTGTGACTTTGTTTTTTGAAACAGGATCTCATATAGCCCAAGGTGGTTTCAAGCTTGCTACCTGCTATGTAGCAGGGGCTGGCCTTGAACTTCTGATCCTCCTGCCCTTACCTCTCAAGTGATGGGTAAACAAGAGTGTGCCACCGTGCCCAGGTGCGCTTTTGCTTTTCAAGTGGAATGGCTTCTTCTGACTCATCCTAAATCAGTGTTTTGGTTTTGGCTTGGCGATGCAGCGGATTGAGTCTGAGGCCTCTCACACCCTAGGCAAACACTGTACCACTCAGCCACACCTTCAGTCTGATCAGTACCTCTTAACTGGCAACAGTTTTGATCCCAGACACATTTTTGGTTGTCATACCTACAAGGGTGCTGTTGGCATTCTGTGGACCGAGACCAGAGATGAGGCCGAACCACCCACCGTGAGGAGAATAGCACCTGTTCACATGAGATTGCCTGGCTCCAACAGTTGCCGGTGCTGTGACCGGGAACTCTGTGGACAGAAATGTTGCCTGTGACACTTCAGACTTGATGTGATGGTTGTGATATTCTGATTTCATTAAATCCATGCCATAACTATTAAGGTTTAAGATATTCTCCCATGCTCCACCCTAACCCCATTGGTTGTGTCATCCTCGGTGCAGACATGGCACCTTAAAAGTTAAACGAGCCAGGCAGTGGTTGCCTATGCCTTTAATCCCAGCGCTCAGGTGGATCTCTGAGTTCGAGGTCAGTCTGGTCTACAGAGTGAGTTCCAGGACAGCCAGGGTTACGCAGAGAAACCTGTCTCGAAAGGAAGAGAAGTTAAGCTTGATCCACACAGGTATCTGTACACCAGTGTTCATCACTGCATTGCTCATAACTGCTGAAAAGAAGAAACAGCCTATGGCTTGAGAGGAGTGGGTAAGGAAAGTGAAATTCTGACACACACTGCACCATAAGTAATCCTTGAGGATGTTAGACTAAGGGAAATCAATAAGAATAAAGCAATAAACACTAACATTTCACTTCTAAAAGGTACCTCTGCAAAATAAATAAATAAATAATAAATTATTTTAAAAGGTACCCCCACGTATATTAATCTTTCTGTATTCACAGATTCACCTAGTCTGGAAATATATAAATGGAATAATGCACTGTGTGTCACTTATGTCTGTTTTTCACTTTGTTTTAAAAGTTCATCCAAATTATAGCATGTACTTATTACTTCACTACTTTTTACTATCGAGTGGGGGGGCTTGCATATTCTAGATACATACCTGTGTTAGTCAACTTGCCATTGCTGTTACAAATACAGAGATAAGTCAATTTAAAGGAAGAAAAGTTTATTTGGACTCAAGGTTTCATTCCATAGTCTCTTGGTCCAGTTGTTTTAGGCTTATGGCAAGGCAGAATATCATGGGATATGTGCTTTTTTCTCTTGTGGTTGTGGGGATTTTCTTTTCTGGTTTAATCTATTGTATGTCCTGTGTGCTTCTTGTGTCTGTAGTGGTGTGTTTCTTCTTGGTTTAGGGAGTTTTCCTTCTATGATCTTGTTGAAAATCTGATCTGTACCATTGACTTGGTATTCTTTCCCTACACTTCTTATTCGAGGACTTGGTTTTTTTTTTCATGGAGGTCCACATTTCCTGTGTTTTAATTGTCTCCATGTTCATTGCTTATTTGATCTAGG